TTTTTAATTAATTTGTTTTTTAAAATTGAGACAAAATCTCACTATGTTGCTCAGACTGGTCTCAGGCTCCTGGGCTCAAGCTATCCTAATGCCTCAGCTTCCCCAATACCTGGGACTCCAGGTGTGCACTACAATACCTGGCTAGCATGTGAAACTTTATAAAGCTGTTCAATTGTTTTATCTCCAAAACTTACTTCAATAAAAAGCAGGAAATTAGTAATGAAAAGAACTAAGAAGTAAATGCTAATTTGCTGTGCAAACCACATCAAAATAGTTTGGTAGAGCTATATAAATCACTATAATTCTATATATATGACTTCCATTTATTAATCAAGCAGGTACCCATTTCTGACTTCAGAAATGACTTAGCAAGCATGGCATATTAAGTATATTTTTGCCTAGGCAGCAGAGACTCTAAAATAATAATGCTCAAGATGTCAAAAAATTGTGAAATATATACCTTACTTAATCTCCATAACCTACAGATGTAGGCAGATAAAGAGATTGAAGATCAGAAGAATGATTTAAAGTTGCACAGCTAGTAGGTGGGAGAGGCTGGTTCTCAGAACCAGGACTTTTGTTCCCAAAGTTATTCTCTACTGCATCATGTCCCAGCATAGATTTTATCAAATGAAAATAAGTCTTTAGAGCAACTCTGTTTTGAGTTCCAAAACAAATGCTATCAAATTCTTCAGGCTGGAACTCTCTGGTCACATTTTGCTCTGCATACACTTTTTGTTTCACTCAAAAAAAGGTTTTTTAAATTTAAATTAATTGCATATTTGAGGATTACACAATAATTCAGAGTTTTGGCTTCTCTATAAAGTCAGAATCACACCCATTAGGATGGCTATTATTAAAAAAACGAATGAGCCAACAAAAATCAGAAAATATCAAGTGTTAGCAAGAATATGGAGAAACAGAAACCCCTGTGCACTACTGTTGGGAATGTACAATGGTGCAGCCACAGTGGAAAGTCATATGGTGGTTTCTCAAATATTAAAAATAATAGAATTACCTTATTATTCAGGATTCCACTTCTGGGTATATACCCAAAAGAATTAAAGTAGTGTCTTAAGGCTATATTTGTACACCCATGTTCATATTAGCACTATTCACAATAGCCAAAATGTGGAAGCAACCTTTGTCCATCAACAGATGAATGGATAAACAAATGTGGTATAAAGAAATTCTGACACATGCTACACTGTGGGTGAATCCTGAGGACATTACGCTAGGTGAAATTGGCCAGAAGACAAATTATGTATGATTCTACTTATATTAATTAGTCAAATTTACAAAGACAGAAAAGTAGAACAGTGATTGCCAGAGGCTGTGGGGAGGGAGACAGGAGAGCAGCTTCATTAGAGTTTCAGTTTTGGAAGATGAAAAAGCTCTGGAGCTTAGTTCCACAACAATGTGAACGTATCTAACTGTACACTTAAAAATGGTTCACATGACAAATTTTATGTTTTTACCACAAATAAAAATTTTAAAATAATAAAAATATATTTTTTAAAGGTCAGAGGATACATCAGTCTTCTAAAGTATCAGACAGCTGAAGGGTAGTTTCCTTTAATATTGCAGGCCCTCCAGCGCCAGCAACCCCAATTCTCCTGGTTTCCCCTGGTACTTAATGTCAACTACTAACTCTTCTCCAGTTTTCATTCTTTCCTTCACCTGGTCTCTTCTTTCTGTTACTTTCCTCCACTGCTAGTGCTTGGGCTTACATCCTTCTCTAGATTATGAATTCACAGGACAATTTTAATATCCTGTTCATCACTTTCTAATCTGTCCTGTGAATGTAAAAATAAAAATCACATATATCATTTTTTCATCTTAACTAGACTTTACAAAAAAGCAATTCCAAAAAAGATGTTATTTGTGTCTGACATACAATTGTAATGTCAAGATTTCCTTTTTAAAGCTATTTTTAACTTTTTGAGTTGGGGTCTTACTGTGTTGCCCAGGCTAGAGTGCAGTGGCATGATCACAGTTCACCACAGCTACAACCTCCTAGGTTCAGGAGATCCTCCCATGTCAGTCTCCTGAGTAGCTGGAACAAGTGCATACCACTGTGCCTGGCTCCAAACTGATTTTAAATCCTGTTTCTACTATGAGTGAAACGCCTCAGCTTTCTCCATCTGTAAAATTAGGGTAACACCGCCTTTGCTGGTTTTAAAGACTAACCAATTTATGTGTGTAAGGACTGATTAACATATTGGATTCCTTTCCTGCTAATTTATCTAGGACTTTTAGTTACTTAAGGCATTTTTCCTTTTTTTGAGTTGAAGTCTTACTCCATTGCCCAGGCTGGAGTGCAGTGGCACACTCACGGCCACCACCGCCTCAACCTGTTGGGCTCAGGAGATCCTTCCACCTCAGCCTTCCAAGTAGCTGGAAGTACAGGCACATGCTATCACACCCCACTAATTTTTGATTTCTTGTAGAGACGAGGTCTCCCCAAGTTGCCTGGGCTGGTTTAGAACCCGAGAGCTCAGGCAATCCATTCACATCAGCCTCCCAAAGTGGTGGATTACAGCCGAGCCACCAAACCTGACCTCAAGACATTTTTAATTTCCCTGGCATTTATCTGCCTCTGCACTAATAATTTATTACCTTTGCTGGTCTGAATTGCTGGATACTAAAAAACTTAAACAACAAAAACAGCTAATATTTCTCAAGATTATATTCAGTTTAAAGTGAAAAAAATAAACCAGAAATTATGTTCCTATATATAAAACCATGTTATTATTTAAGAAAGTTACTTAAGAAACATCAACTAATTTTACACATATTTGTGTTAGACACTAGGGGCAAATTTCAAATTCTACTTTATGTGTAAAATGTATTTTTAGGGAAAATGAGTCTATTAGATTTCAGGATTAAGGGGGGGTTTATGTTATCTTGGTATTACAGGCTGAAAGTTTGTATTCCTCAACTTCAAATGCTAACCCTCAATGTAAGAGCATTAGTAGGTGAGGTCTTTGGGAGGCAATCTGACTTAGATTAGATGAGGGTGGGTTCCTTATGATGGGATTAGTGCCTTTATAAGAAGAGAAAGAGACACAAGAGCTCTTTTTCCCTCCCAAGGATGCACCAAGGAAAGACCATGTGAGCAAGAAGCTATCCGTCTACAAGTTAGGAAGAGAACTTTCACCAGAACCCAACTATGCTGATACTTCCACCTCAAACTTCCAAGCCTCCAGAACTGCGAAAATAAATTTGTTGTGTAAGCCACCCAGTCTATGATATTTTCTTTCAGCAGTTTGAGCAGACTAAGACATTTTTGTTTTTTGAGGTCAATAGCTATGAAAAGATTGACATTACCTTTCATTTGAACATCAGAATCTTTAGAGATGAGCTTTTCTTTAAGGTATTTTCTTTCTTTCTTTCTTTTTGAGTCGGAGTCTCACTCTGTCGCCCAGGCTGGAGCCCACAATCTGCTGGGCTCAGATGCTTCAATCTGCTGGGCTCAGGTGATCCAAGTAGCTGGAACTATAGGTGTGTGCCACCACGCTCTGCTAATTTTTTATTTATCATAGAGACGCAGTCTCACCAAGTTGCCCAGTGTGGTCTCGAACCCCATGGGCTCAGGCAATCCTCTTGCCTTTTGCCTCCCAAAGTGCTGGGATTATAGGCATGAGCCATTGCACCCGGCTAGGGTGTTTTCTTAATGAACAGAAACTTTCTTCAATCACAAATACTTCATCAAAACAGAGTGATGAAGGACGGAATGAGACTCATACACTCTTTTTTTATTCAAGAGAACTCTATATTTTACACCAGTTATATAGGCTCAGTGTGTTAAGACATATCTTGGAGAAAATATGGTTACTTTCTCAAAGTTATAAGCTTCGTTTTTATATATAAAATCCAGCATTTATCAGCTGTTTCTGGTTCTCAAAATAGTATTATTAGGACATGCCCTACTTTAGGCTTTAAATAATTGTATAATAAAATAGTGTCAGTAGGTCCAAAGCTGAAACACAATGTTCATATTTCTTTTTAACATAAAGGAGAAGAGTGTTTGTTTTGTTTTGTTTTCTTTTTTTGGTACAACCATTGTTCTCAAACTATGTACCAGGGCACTTTAGCAAATTAACATGGGTGCCACAGGATATTTTTAAATTGTGAGGGAGACACAGCAATACCTGTTAGATACTTGATAAACTACTAGCTCAAGGCAGTTTACATTTTCAACATTAAGTAGCATTATATTCCTTTCCATAACAACACAACTTTGTAAAACTGGCTTTTCAGCAATCCAATAAAAAGTCCCGTGCAATGAAACGTTTAATCAGAACAGTCTGATAAATTACTGTGGAACAGAAAATAATACTGATTCCAAGGTTTGAGACGTGCAGTATCCAGTTACTGGTGATGATGTAAAGTCTTATTAAGTTGCTGGACCTAATTGCATAATAACCAGAAGTATTAGATATTTCTTTTGGCCTAGATATACTGTGAAAAAATTACTGAGACATTAAATAGTATTATGAGCTGAGAAAGTTTGGGAACATCTGTGGTTTAGAAGAAAAATATAAAACAAGTCATTTAGTTGTTCTCTTTCTGCCTAGAAATTTTCTAAATAAATAGTCATACAAAAAGGGGAAAAATATATACAAACATACATAAAAAGTTTGGATTTTTATTGAAATCTCATTAGGTATCAAACAAAATCTGCTTTCTTCAGATAAAAATATTCTCTCAGATGTCTCCAGATAACTGTTAAGTCTAAGTTGGTCCTTTAATGTATTATTTTATTTTTATTGTCCTCATGAAATGTTCATATACACTTAGGATGTTCCCGAAAGCATTTTTATCGTGTAAAGGAACGTACATGACGACCTCTACCACTGCCTCCACTAACAAATTTTCCTCTTGAGCCACCACTGCCGCTATTTGCACTAGCCCAGGAAGGTCCGAGTCCCCCACGACCTCTAGAAGCACGATCCCGAGGACTTGGACGGTAGCCTATAAAAGAAAGAAAATAGTTTTTAGTTCCAATGTCCTTTCCTTTTCCACAATATAATTACTAATCCACAACACTGAGCCAAATCAATAATAAATCTTTGCTCCTTTAAAACACATATATGTGAATGTGCTAAAGATCCAAACTGATAGATTGTAAACTATATGATACATAAGAATTATATTCCAAATAAAACTTATTTTAAAAAAATGTACATTTGAAACCAAAAGCAACTTCTGACAAGCAAATTTCTGGACTTGATACAGCAATGATTTAGAGGGAAAAAAATACCTAAGACATACTATATTGATTATATACCTAAAACAGTACTATAAGCAGCAAAATAATATACTACGTGAAGGTATCTCTTATTAAAATACTTTGTGGTCAAAAAGGTACCTTAAGGCTTGGCTTTCATCACTGAAATATAAAAATAGAGCACATTACCACGAAACTGTTCAGATTTTTAAATAACTCAGAATCTAAAAATTGGATTTTTTTTTTTTTAGCTGGAGTCTCACCGTCACCCAGGTTGGAGTGCAGTGGCATGCTCACAGCCATCACAGCCTCATCCTGCTGGGTTCAGGCAATCCTTCACCTCAGCCTTCCAAGTAGCTTGAACCACCATGCCCAGCTAACTTTTTGATTTATTGTAGAGTTGAGGTCTTGCCAAGTTGCCCAGGCTGGTCTTAAATTCCTGGGCTCAGGCAATCCTCTCGCCTTGGCCTCCCAAAGTGCTGGGATTACAGGCACTGAAGCACTAGGCCCAGCTTAAAAATTTGATTATTTTTATAGGAGATGTAAATTGGGCATTCGTTCAAGGATATCAACCTTAGAATTTTAAGTCAACATTCTAAAATATTCCCTCCTAGAATGAGAGTACAATTGATCCTTGAACAACACGAGTTTGAATTGCATGGATTCACTTATATGTGAATTTTCTTCCACCTCTACCACCCCTGAGACAGCAAATTCAACCCTTCCTCTTCCTCTTCCTCTTCCTCCTCAGCCTATTCAACATGATGACCTTTATGATGATCCACTTCCATTTGAATAGTAGCATGTTCTCTTTCTTATAATTTTAACAACATTTTCTTTTCTCTAGCTTAATTGTAAGAACACAGTATATAATGCATATAATATTCAAATATGTGTCTACTAACTTATATTATCAGTAGACTATTTAGGAGTTAAGCTGTTGAGGAGCCAAAATTTATACTTTGGTTTACAACTGCATGGGGTGGGAAGTTGGGGGATCTGTAATCCCTTCGTTGTTCAAGGGTCAACTGTATATGATATTCAACAAATTGAAAAGGAGGAATTCACTTCCCTTTTCTCAGCAATATCAAGTAGGAAGGATGTACACCTGTAGAACTAAGTGGTCGTAATGGTGGAAGAGGGCCCCTGTTAAAATTGCTCTGGCCTCCGCGACTTTCATTGTAATTTCCTCGAGGAGTATTCTGAGCACTCCAACTGGAGCCTCTTGTTCCTTCCCGACGACTATAGTTTCCTAAAAACAAACAATATAATCAAAATCTATTTTTTTCACATCTTCAGTTGGATTAAAAAAGATTTGACAGGTTTTTCTCAATCTTCAAAGGTAATGAAAGAGAAACAAATTCTGCAAACTGAACACACTACATAATGGCAACATCACCCAGTGATTAAAAGCAGAGTATCTACAGCCAGATTGCCAGGATTCAAATACTGATTCTTCCACTTATATTAATGTGTCCTTGTTAGCTGACTGACAATTTTCTCTTCTGAAAAGTGGGGTTACTAAGAGAACCTACCTCACTGGTGTTTATAACAATATTACATATTGTTATAAAGTGTTTATAACAATTCCTGACACACATCTCAATGTTTGTTACAAATGTAAACTGTCCTCTTTCATTCCCACCCTTCTAACTTATTATGTATAAAAACGTCCTCAATCCACAAGTAAAGTATAATTTCTATAAGTATTTATAGACAGTTTCTAAAATCTGAAAACAATTGACAACAGATTAAATACAACATTAGGAAGGAAGCAGATTAAGTAGATCAATGGTGAACTACACAACACAATTTTAAGGAAACTTGGTAAGTAAATTGTAAAAATAATGTATAGATATTAAAAAGAAAAATTCTCAATGAAAAGAGAAAAATATAATCAGACAAGATTTCTTTTAAACTCATCACTAAAAACACAACTTATCAAAGAGCCACTTCTGAGTTCAGCTTCTTGTTATTCAGCCTCCACTCTAATGCAGTTAATTCAAACAAACAAACAAAGAAAAAAGCTGGGTTCGGTGGCTCAGCCTGGAATCCCAGCACTTTGAGAGGCTGAGGTGAGTGGACTGCCTGAGCCCACGGGTTCGACACCCGCCTGGGCAACTTGGCGAGACCTCATCTCTACAATAAATCAAAAATTAGCCGGGCATGGTAGCGCGCACCTGTAGTTCCAGCTACTTGGAAGGCTGAGGCGGAAGCATCCTCGGAGCCCAGCAAGTCGAGGCTGCGGTGGCCAGGAGTGGCCACTGCACTCCAGTCTGGACGACAGAGTAAGACTCTGACTCAAAAAAAAAATTAATTAATTAAATTAAATTAAAAAAAAAAGATTTCTTTCTTGTATCCAGTAACAGTACTCTCCAAATAGTACCACTGGTTTAAAGGCAGCTCAATTGTAATAACAGGAAAATAGTTTATCTGAATCTCTTCCATCTAAATCACTTTCATTCCATATTGTAATATTCCAATATTTTAACACATTAGAAAATACACACTAATTAGTTACCTTTTGAAGCAGGTGGCGTGAAAAATCTATTCTGACTGTGGAAAGTACCCCGTCCTCCTCGATTGCCTGAAAACCCACCACGAGAAGAAATCTTCTGTGACACTTTGAGTGGTCGTTTTGGCGGGGGTATTCCATCCTGAGGAACAACTTCTTTACTTTCAGCAGCAACAAAGTCATCCACATGCATAGACGGTGGTCTACTTGTGTTCTGTTTTCTCTGACGAAAAATATCATGAGGTCGTATACCCTGTCCAAATCCTCCCCTGCCCCTTCCTCTTGGTGGAGGCACAACATGAGCTCGTTTGGCAGGTTCAATGTATTCAGATTTTCCACTATTAAAACAAAAACACTTCATGAAAATTTTTTCATTTTTCAGATTTCCAGTGAAAATATGAGTCAATCTTTACAATACTGAAAACTAGATTTCAATTTTTCTTATTCTAATTCTGATAAATTTGCAAATATCTATGTTACTTCTGTAATAATCTAACAAACTAGCTAGGAATGGTACTCACATCTTACTGACATGCATAACAAAGTTTTGAAATAATCCAGTCCACTTTTTATTCAAGTCTACCAAAATCTCATTAAAAAATAATACAGCAAATGTACTGAGTATGTCCTGGTCAAATTATTATCTTTAAAAAAACAAATTCAAACAATATTCATGATTCAAGCACTATGTCAACTTCCTTTCTTGTTTAGACAAGATTGGGCACATTCAGGGTGGTATGGCTGTAGACCCTTTCTTGTTTAATAGCATGTGTCTACCTTAAAATACGATAGGCACATGCTATTACATGACATTAAATAAGCTTACATCACACAATCAGGATTTTCAGTGAAATAAATTTTACCTTGAAGTTATAAAGGTCTCATGTTTGTGCTTCCCAAGTTTGAATCCTTTAGTGGTTTTGGTTCTTCCTGGAGATGATGGTTCTGACAAAAATGAGCGCTCTAATTCTGAGTGCAAATCAAAGTCACTACAGCATTTTTCAGAGAGCTCAATTAAGTCAACCTTTACCTGCAATCACAGATATAAAACAAAAAAAAAACCCACATCTTACTATTATTATTCTTTGAGACAGTCTCATTCTGTTGCCAATGTTGGAGTGCAGTGGTACAAGCATAGCTCACTGTAACCTTGAACTACTAGGCTCAAGCGACCCTCCTTCCACAGCCTCCCAAGTAACAGGGGACTCCAGGTACACACCACTATGCCTGGCTAATTATGTTCTTGCTATGTTGCCCAGGCTGGTCTCAAACTCTTGGTCTCAATCACTCCTTCTGCCTCAGTCCCCTACAGGCATGAGCCACCGTACCCAGCTAGAAATTAATTTTTAAATGCAATTTTACTTGAATTGTATGTGATTTATTTTAAAGCAGCCCTTCATACACTAAATACAAATATAAAACATGTCATTCTTTTAGTTTTATTGTACATGATGAACACTAGCATGTTTCTTTGATAAAGAACCAATATGTGGTACAATAATAAATAACATGGCTAAAATCAATCTCCCTAGAACATCTCCAAAAAACATAAAATAGACTGCAATAAACTTTAAATATTTAGCTATAGTCTTACCTATTTGGCATTATGTTTAAGAATACAAATTCCTAGGAGGGCACGGTGGCTCAGGCCTATAATCTCAGCACTTTGGGAGGCTGAGGCAAGAGGATTGTCTGAGCCTGGGGGTTTGAGACCAGTTTGGACAACATGGTGAGACCTCGTCTCTACAATAAGTCAAAAAATTAGCTGGACATGGTGGTGCATGCCTGTAGTTCCAGCTATTTGGGAGGCTGAGACAGAAGGATTGCCTGAGTCAAACAGGTTGAGGCTGCAGTGGCCATGAGCAGCATTACCACTGCACTCCAGCCTGGGTGGCAGAGTGAGACTGACTCAGGAAAAAAAAAAATACAAATTCCCATTCAAACTATATTCTAATAAGTATGTTTCTTTACAAGTTCCCAAACCATACTAAATCATTTCTCTCCTTAAACCCAAATGGAAGAATAAACTGTTATCCTGTGGGATACTTTTATTTATTTTATGCCCTACCAATGTAAAAAAACAAAGTACTTCAGGATTATGCAAAAATGTGATTTTTTTCCCCCTTAAAAGCCACAATCTCTAAATTCAGATCACTAATTAGAAAGAAGCAGGCTGGGCACGGTGGTTCAGGCCTGCAATTCCAGCATTTTGGAAGGCTGAGGTGAACAAATTGCCTGAGCCCACAAGTTCGGGAACAGCCTGGGCAACTTGGTGAGACCTTATCTCTACAAAAATCGAAAAATTAGCCAGGCGTGGTAGCGCATGCCCGTAGTTCCAGCTACTTGGAAGGCTGAAGTGGAAGGATAACCTGAGCCCAGCAGGTCGATGCTGGCGTGGCCATGAGTGTGCCACTGCACTCCAGCCTGGGTGACAGGGTGAGATTCCAATTCAAAAAAAAAAAAAAGAAGCAAAACAAGTAGCATGAAAAATTGAAAGTTCTGAATGCTGTTAAGTGAGCAACTGGCATAAAAATACTATAGGAGTGGGCCCCAAGTAGACTTTATCAGTCATATACCATGTAAACTACATAATGCTAACAATTCACAAAATCTTTTAAAAATATATTTAGTATTAAAATCATTTATACCAAGTCTAGATCTGTATCAATTTCTTCAGCCTGAAATGGAGTAAACCACATAGATTTCAACTGATCATCCATGACATCAGCAAGCACATATGCAGTCCTAGAATAAGAAAAGTAGTTGATAAAAAGCAGAATTCCACTATAAGAAAAGGATTGACAGTGGTGGGAAACTATGGGGGGGGAAAGGAAGGGAGGTGGGATTAATGGGGGACACCCCTTATCAACAAGGGTGCCTGAATGATGCATATTTGTATACCTAACCCTTAACTGTACCCCACAATTTTAAAATAAAAAATGTTTAAAAAAACAAAAAAAAAGCAGAATTCCAAAATCAAACATTTTAACCTGGCTTCAAGTAAAATCTGTAAGAAATATAATTTAAAATGCTTACTTCTGAAATATTACTAAAATTAGCATTTTTTAAAAAACTTCAAAAAGCTATTCAAGAATTAAGTATCCTTAAAAACCAGTAACTTGAAAACTAATCCTGCTGTGACAAATTTTGACCTTTCGGTAAAAGAAAACAAAGCTCTGAATTGATCTGCCAGCCTGTTTTTGTACAGCCTACAAGCTAGGTATGGTTTTATATTAAAAAAACATTTTTGTGACCTGCAAAGTGTAAAATTTTTACTATCTGGCCCTTTACAGAAAAAAAAGGTTTGCTGACCACTCTATTCTCTAGCCATTATGTAAATAGTATCACAAAACATTGCTTGTTTTACCTATTGTTAAACAGATTCTGGAGAGATTCAGGAGCTGAAAGTACTGGTTCTACATCCTGGTCACTGAGAGGTAAAGGATCACCTGATGACTCTAGCATCTGCTTAAGTCCAACCACACTGTCCAGCAAAGAATCCAGATTGTCATCATCTTTTGAATGTTCCTAGATACAGATAAAAGTAGAATAAGAAGGTGCAGATAAAACTTGAACACTTATAACCTATATGCTACTGATTCTTTAGTAGAAAGGCTATATTAAGTCATGATTAAGAAATCTGGAACACCATCCAGAAACTGTCAACTAACAATGAACATATTAAAATACAACAAGCACTAAAAACATCTGTCATTTTATTTCTAAACAACTGCAGCAGGAGATACCCTGCATCCAAAGGACAATTCAAAAAGTACTGTCTTCATTTTTTCCTTAAGATTTGTAACAGTAAGGAGGACTACATTCCAAATTATTAAAGTTATTTTAAATGGCATAAATACCCAATTAAGGGTTTACTACTTTTTAAAAAGTCAATATGAAAACCTTGTACTAGTGAAACTAAGAAAATATGTCTCAGGAATGCTCTGTTTTTATTTTGTTTCTGTTTTCCTTTTCTTTTCTTTTTTCTTTTTTTCTTTTTCTTTTTTTTTTTTTTTTTTTTACCAAAACAAGCTTCTCTAGTTCAAGGAACAAATTTTCTGGACTTTCTTCTTTGCTTTGTAGAAGCTGTTTTAACTCTGCAGCATTAATACTCATCGTCCGTGATGGATGAGCTCCCTCTACTTCCATGAGACCACTATCATCTCCACAACAGCCCTGTAAATGTCACACACAGGTTAAATTTGAGAGCAGAGAAATTTGTAAGAAGTTTCCAAACTTATTCAGATATTTAGCCATATGCTGCAATTTTCCCCTTAGTGTTTTGGTTTTATACCAGTACAATAGCTAGTTTTAAGATGAATTAGGTCAGCTCAAAGCTGAAATAAATTTTCTTTGAGTAAGATTCACAAAAAAAACAGGTAAGCACATATATTTTACTGGCACCAAGATTACACAATAAGAATATACAATGGCAAATACACTTATAGGAAGTGGCACTTACAGAAAATGTAACACATTGACTTATGCTCAAGAGTTAACAAAATGCTTGCTGTAACAAAGAACTGGCCGGGCTCGGTGGCTCAGCCTGTAATCCCAGCATTTTGGGAGGCCGAGGTGAATGGATTGCCTGAGCCCGCAGGTTCGAGACCCGCCTGGGCAACTTGGCAAGACCTCATCTCTACAATAAATCAAAAATTAGCTGGGCGTGGTAGCACACGCCTGTGGTTCCAGCTACTTGGAAGACTGAGGCGGAAGGATCACCGGAGCCCAGCAGGTCAAGGCTATAGTGGCCAGGAGCGGCCACTGCACTCCAGTCTGGGTGACAGTGAGACTCCAACTCAAAAAAAAAAAAAACAAAGAACTGACGAAATGCGAAGTTATCCCTCTGAAGATAAGGAAAACAACTAAAAAGAATGGTAACTATCATATTTAAGACTATATTCAGTCATGTAGAAAAATATCTTCTGCTTTAGAAAAACAATGATACATAATGAAGTAAATTTTAGAATGATAATATTTCAACACTTAGCAAGGCATGGTGGATCATGTCTGTACCGGCACTTTGGGAGGCATAGGTGAGAGGATTGTCTGAGCCCAGGGGTTCGAGACCAGCCTGGACAACTTAGCGAGACTTTGTCTCTATAATAAATCAAAAAATTAGCTGGGCGTGGTGGTACATGCCTGTAGTTCCAGCTACTTGGAAGGCTGAGGCAGAAGGATCACCTGAACCTGGCAGGTTGAGGCTGCAATGGCTGTGAACGAACTATCCAGCCTGGGCCACAGAGTGAGATTCTAACTAAAAAAAAAAAAACCCCAACAACACAAAAAAACAAATTTCAATATTTAGAAAATCCATCCTGCTGGGTGGCAGCTCATGCCTGTAATCCCAATACTTTGGGAGGTGGAGGCAAAAGGACTGCGTGAGCCCAGGAGTTTGAGACCAGACTGGACAATATGGCAAGACCTAGTCTCTACAACAAATCAAAAAATTAGGTGTGCCTGTAGTTCCAGCTACTTGGAAGGGTGAGGCAGAAAAATCGCCTGAGCCAAGGAGGTGGAAGCTGCAGTAGCCATGAGTGTGCTACTGCACTCCAGGATGGGTGACAGAGTGAGATTCTAATTTAAGAAAATTTATCCAGAAAACAAATCAAGATTCATGACAACAAAATCATTCAGAGTCACACATGAAAGAACACTTCAGGCAACCCCCTTGGGTCCCCTCTCATTATGGGAACTTTTCTGTCCTCTCAATAAATCTTGCTTTCTCAAAAAAGAAAGAAAGAAAGAACACTTCTGGCAGAGTCATATGCCCTCCAAACAGTAGTTTCAAATCTTTAGCCTTTTTTTTTTTTTTGAAGAGTCAGGGTCTTACTCTTTCACCCAGGCTAAAGTGCAGTGGGCACAATCATAGCTCACTGCAGTCTCAAATCCCTGGGCTCAAGCGTTCCTCATACCTCACTCAGGTTCCTGAGTAGCTGGGAGTATGGGTGCCTGACAACCACACCCAGCTTTAGCCCTGTTTCAAATGGCTCAAAATAAATATGGTCTCTTAGGAATAAGACTCACAAAATAAAAGTGTACATATCAATACTAGATACGGCATTTAGTATTTTTTTTTTTTAGTTGGAGTCTCACTCCGTCACCAGACTGGAGTGCAGAAGCACGCTCCCGGCCACTGCAACCTTGACCTGCTGGGCTCCGGCGATCCTTCTGCCTCAGCCTTCCAAGTACCCGGAATTACAGGCGTGCACTACCATGCCTGGTTAATTTTTTTATTTATTTTAGAGATGAGGTCTCACCAAGTTGCTCGGGTGGGTCTCGAACCCGTGGGCTCAGGCAATCCACTCACCTCGGCCTCCCAAAGTGCTGGGATTACAGGCTGAGCTACCGAGCCCAGCCACATTTAGCATTTATAAATAGGCACAAATAACTAAATTTTGTTTGAAGCTCATATCATTTGTCCTATAACTAACCAAATATCAATAACAGCTGAATAAACATTACCCTTAACAAAATCCTGACCAGGCCCAGTGACTCACATCTGTAATCCCAGCATTTTGGGAGGCCAAGGCAAGAGGACTGCTTGAGGCCAGGAGTTCAAGATCAGCCTGGGCAACAAAGAGAGCCTTTTTCAAGAACAATTTTAAAAGAAAAAAAAAATTTTGAGTTGGAGTCTCACTCTGTCACCCAGGCTGAAGAGCAGTAGCATACTCATGGCTACCACAGCCTCAACTTGCTGGGCTCAGGTGATCCCTCTGCCTCAGCTTCCAAGTAGCTGGAACTACAGGGGCACACAACCACACCTGGCTAATTTTTTGATTTATTGTAGAGATGAAGTCTCATCAAGTTGCCCAAGCTAGTCTTGAACCCCTGGACTCAAGCAATACTCTTGCCTCCGTCTCCCAAAGTGCTGGGATTACAGGAATGAGCCACTGTGCCCAGTGCTAAAAAATTTTTAATAACAATAACAGAAGGCTGGGTTCAGCCTGTAATCCCAGCACTTTGGAAGGCTAAGGCTAGTGGACTGCCTGAGCCTGTGGGTTCAAGACTAGCCCAGGCAACTTGGCAAGACCTCATCTCAACAATAAATTAAAAAATTAGACCGAGTCGGGCTCGGTGGCTCAGCCTGTAACCCTGCACCTTTGGGAGGCTGAGGTGAGTGGATTGCCTGAGCCCGCGAGTTCGAGACCCGCCTGGGCAACTTGGTGAGACCTCATCTCTACAATAGATAAACAATGAGCCGGGCATGGTAGCGCGCGCCTGTAGTTCCAGCTACTTGGAAGGCTGAGGCGGAAGGATCGCCAGAGCCCAGCAGATCGAGGCTGCGGTGGCCAGGAGCGGCCATTGCACTCCAGTCTGGGTGACAGAGTGAGACTCCAACACACAAAAAAAGAAACTGTCCTCTAAATGTTGAAAATATAAGAAAACTACAGACCAATATCTCTCATGAACATAGATGCAAACATCCTCAACCTCAATAAAATATTAGGAATTATTAATCAGCAATTAATAAGCCCATTAGCAAAGTGGGATTAGTCCCAGGTATGTAAAACTGGTTTCAACAATCTAAAATCAAGTAAGCCAGTGTGGACTCAAGCCTGTAATCCCAGCATTTTGAGAGACAAAGGCAAGAGGATTGCTTGAGCTGAGGGGTGTGAGACCAGCCTGGGCAAATTGGTGAGACCTTGTCTCTACAATAAATTTTTTTTTAAAAAGCCGGGTGTGGTGGCACATGCCTGTGATTCCAGTTACTCAGAAGGCTGAGGCAGAAGGATTGCCTGAGCCCAGCAGGTCGAGGTTGCAGTAGCCATTATGGTGCAACTGCTTTAGCCTGGGAGACAGAGTGAGATGCTGATAAAAATAAATAAACAAACAAACAAACAAATAAATATCAATTAATATAATATACCACATCAACGAGCTAAGGAAGAAAAAACCTAAAATCATATTAAGAGATGCAGAAAAAGCTTTTTACAAAATCCAACACTGACCCATGATAAAAATTCAAACTAGGTATAGAGGATCTTCCTCAACTTGATAAAGAACATCTACAAAAAACCTACATCTAACATAATACTGAATAGTGAGAAATTAGAAGCTTTCTCACTAAGATCAGGGAAAAGAAGAACTTCACTCTTGAAACACCTTTTTAATATTGTCCTGAAAGTCCTAGCTAATGCAATAATTAAAGGAAATAAAAAGAATAAAGATTGGGAAGGAAGAAATCAAAATGGCTTTTCTTTTTCTGAGTTGGAGTCTTACTAAGAATAGGAACAAAACAAAGATATACATTCTTGCCATTTCTATTCAGCATTGTACTTGAGGTTCTTATGAAGGCAGTTAGGCCAGAAAAAGAAATAACAGGAATCCAGATTTGAATGAAAGAAATAAATATGTCTCTATTTGTAGATAACATGATCTTGCATACAGAAAATCTTAAGAAATCCACTCAAAAACTATTAGTACTAATGAATGAGTTCAGCAAGGTTGCAAGACACACTATCAAAAACAAAAGTCAGCTGTATTTCTAAACATTAGCAATGAACAATCCAGAAATGAAATTAAGGAACAGGCCAGGCGCAGTGGCTCACGCCTGTAATCCCAGCACTTTGGGAGGCTGAGGAGAGAGGATTGCCTGAGTCCAGGAGTTCGAGACCAAACTGGACAAACAGGCGCGTCTCTACAATAAATCAAAAAATTTGCCAGGTGCAGTGGTACATGCCTGTGGTTCCAGCTACTTGGAAGGTTGAGGTGGAAGGATCACCTGAGCCCAGCACGTTGAGACTGCAATGGCCATGAACATGCCACTGCACTCCAGCCTGGGCAACAGTGAGATTCCAACTCAAAAAAAAAAGAAAGAAAGAAAGAAATTAAGGCACAATTACATTTAAAATAGCATCAAACATAACAGAAAAAACAACCACAAACAACATTTCCCATACTTGGGATATAACAAAAGAGATGCAAGATTAGCATATTAATGATCATAAAACATCATAAAAGGAAATTAAAGATGATCTAAATAAGTGGAAAGACAGCCCATCTCCACGTATATAAAAACTTAACATTGTTCACACAGAAATACTCCCTCCCAAATTTATCTACAGATTCAGTGCACACCCAATTAAAATTCCAGGAGCCTTTTTGGCAGAAATTGACATAAAGACAGAAAGTAGATCAGTGGTTGAGGGAAAAGAGGAATGGGGTTTTTGTTAATGAGTATGGAGCTTCTTTCTGAGACAATGAAAGTATTCTGAAATTAAATAGTGGTAATAAATATATGGTTTTTATCAATACACTAAAAAACACTAAATTAGTTTAAAAGGGTAAATTTTATGGTATACGAGTTATAGCTCAAAAATGTTGCAAAAATAGAAACAAGCAGGATAAATATATAATGGAGGTGAAAACGCAAAATAGGAAATTAAGCATAAAAGGTTTTGTGAATAAAACTGACAAGAATGAGCAGCTGCTGAAGATAATAAACATGAGGGAAATTAGCTTCTATTTCATAATTTCTACCTTGGAAATCAGGAAGATAAATGGTATAAAAGTAAGGCACATAAAAGATCAGTCTGGCCTGGTTTGGTGGCTTGGTCTGTAATCCCAGCACTTTGGGAGGCCTAGGTGAGTAGATTGCCTGAGGCCACGGGCAGCAACTCTACAACAAATAAAAAATTAGCTGAAGTTGGGCTTGGTGGACCAGCACTTTGGGAGGCTGAGGTGAGTGGACTGCCTGAGCTCGCGGGTTCGAGACCCACCTGCGCAACTTGCGAGATCTTATCTCTATAATAAATCAAAAATTAGCCGGGCGTGGTAGTATGTGCCTGTAGTTCCAGCTACTTGGAAGGCTGAGGCGGAAGGATCGCCAGAGCCCAGCAGGTCGAGGCTGTGGTGGCTGGGAGCGGCCACTGCACTCCAGTCTGGGCAACAGAGTGAGACACCAACTCAAAAAAAAAAAAAAATTAGCTGAGCACGGTAACGTGCGATTGTAGTTCCAGCTACTTGGAAGGCAGAGGTGGAAGGATCGCCGGAGCCAAGCAGGTCGACGCTGGGGTGGCCGTGAGCGTGCCACGCACTCTAGTCTAGGCAACAGAGTGAGGCTCCAAATCAAATAAACAAATAAATACAAGATCAGTCAGGTTTATGGGGAAGATGAATTTGATTTTGGCTATTCAGATATTCTATTCATTAGCTAAGGGCAAGGAGAGATGTAAAGACAGAAGAGGAAAAACTATTAGGACAGGATCCAGATCATAAGTATAAATGAAGGAATGTAGGGATACATTTCCCTCTGATTAAGGAAGGAAACAATAAATTAGAAAAACAGGACAGAATCTAAGAGGGAGTCAAAGAATTTAGAGGTTAAACATGATGACTTTGATCTCAACATAGGAGCTGAGAAAATGCATTAATGAGAGATGAATAAAAGCATTAATTAACAATCCTGATGGCCCTAGCGAAATCACAAGAGAACAGTGATTAGTGATTTTTGACCAGAAACTATTTAACTGATGACATGTATAAGAAAATCTGTCACGGCCAGGTGTGGTGGCTCATGCCTATAATCCCAACACTTTGGGAGGCTGAGGTGAGAGGAATGCCCAAGCCCATGGGTTTGAGACCAGCCTGTACAACTTGGTGAGACTTCATCTCTACAATAAATCAAAAAATTAGGCAGGCAATATGGTGCTTGCCTGTAGTTTCAGCTACTTGGAAGGCTGAGGTTGAAGGATCACCTAAGCCCAGCAGGAAGCGGTGGCCATGTGTGGCACTCCAGCCTGGGCAACAGGGTGAGAACTCCAACTCAAAAATAAAGAAAAGAAAGGAAAATCTGTCAAACTAATTTGTTAACATGTCACTTAAGATCTAGTGAAACTAGTAAGTAGTCTTCCATCAAGTAAAACTCTAAATAATCTCTTTATTAGGGCAGCTACATCTCTACTATCAATCTTTCACAATCAAAGGATCTGGTAAACGTAATCACTTAAACTATATATGACACTCAAAAAGTAAGTTTGCCAATAAAATTAGTAAGACAAAAACAACAAACACAACAGGCAAGCAAGGACTTATTGAATTAAATATTCTCAATATAAGTTGTATGCATAAGAGAAAACAGACTAAACAGTAAACTCATTTATCTTACAAAATCTCATATTGTATTTACTTTGGTAACACTGTACTAAACAGGTCCTCTGCAACTCTCCCTAAATAGACATCTTTTTTTGAGTTGGGGGTCTTGTTCTGTCTGTTGCCCAGGCCGAAGTGCAATGGAGCAATTATAGTTCACTGCAACTTTGAACTACTGGGCTCAAGCAATCCTCCAACCTCAGCCTCCCAAGTAGCTGAGACTTCAGGTGTGTGCCACCACGCCTGGCAAATTTTTAATGTTTTGTAGAGATGATGTCTCGCTATGTTGCCCAGGATAGTCTTGAACTCCTGGTTTCACGTAATCCTCCTGCTTTGGCCTCCCAAAGTGCTGGGATTATAGGTGTGAAGCCACTGTGCCCAGCCTGACTGAGCTGAATTTCTTTTTCTAAAAAATTTTTATAGTGATGAGGTCTCACTAGGTTGTCCAGGCTGGTCTCAAACTCCTGGGCTCAAGCAATCCTCCCACCTTGGCCTCCCAAATTGCTGGGATTATAGACATGAGCCATTGTGCCCAGTCAAGCTGAATTTCTTAAACCAGTGTTGACAGAATACATACTGACCCATAAGATATGTACGTGTGTGCAAACACACACACACACACACACACACACACACACACACACACACACCCACAAAGTATTTTGCAGGCAATACATTTAGGCAAAGCTGGACTACAATGTAGTAAAACACTGTAGAGGCTGAGGAGGCCTCTTGGAGTTTTTACTATACTAATGTGTACTGATGTTTACATTTCCAAACTTATTTGACCCCAAACACTTCTTAAAGGCAGGCATTTTTTAAAATGTTTTAATTTTTCAAAAATAGAGACAGGGTCTTACTATGTTGCCCAGGATGAACTCAAATTCCTGGGCTTAAATAGATCCTCCTAACTTAGCTTCCCAAGCAGGTGGGACTACAGGCATGAGCTACCACTCCCAGCAGGGCAGGAATATTAATGGCTTCTGAAATTCTGCCCATAATTTACCATGATTTGAGAAAATACTAATGAGAGAAATCTCAATTTACTTTTTTGGGGGGGTTTTTTTTTTTTGAGTTGGAGTCTCACTCTGTCACCCAGACTAGAGTGCAGTGGCCGCTTCCGGCCACCGCAGCCTTGGCCTGCTGGGCTCCGGCGATCCTTCCGCCTCAGCCTTCTGAGTAGCCGGAATTACAGGCATGCGCTACCATGCCCGGCTGATTTTTTGATTTATTGTAGAGAGGAGGTCTTGCCAAGTTGCTCAGGCGGGTCTCGAACCCATGGGCTCAGGCAATCCACTCACCTCAGCCTCCCAAAGGCACGGGATTACAGGCTGAGCCACCGAGTCCGGCTCAATTTACTTTTAATAATAAGATTTTAAAGTGGGGAAAATAATCTTCAATTCATATATGTAAGATAGATCTAAAATGCCCGAGTATAATAAACTTTACAGTTACCCCAAAATCACAATATCCAAAACAATCACTCGATACTTAATTAAGTGAAAATAAGTGAACATTTAAGAGATGAAAAAAACTTTACTATTCTGAGTTATGCTAGCAAGGTAACTCAATGTCAAGATTTATTTTTAAATGAAGACACCGTAGGTAGTACGGTGCAAAGTCATAGGGTATCCACAAATTAATGATGCCTACTATATTAAAGAGGAGGTCGAGATACTTTGCTCTTAAACACCTATTTTTTAGAATAAATCAGAAATATCTATAGTGGGATGAGGGCCACAGGAAAAAAACACCATTCTAAGTTCTAAGATATGTTTGAGCTATAAAGTGATTTTTTAACTTATGAAAATTTTCAAATTTAAGGAACACCAAATATATACATATACACACTTACCATTGTGTCAGAGTTAAGAACTTGTCTCATAAATTCCAAAAATGAAGATGCAAGTTCTCCTGTATCCTTACTAAATGTGCTGACGACTCGTTTCAGTAAACTATGCAGAGCACTACTGTTTTTCCTTAAAGAACTGTAAATAAAGAGGAGATACTGCTTAAAATATGAGCATAAAAAACTAGTATCAGAGATGAACTATCTCAGTTCAGACAGAAGAAAATTTAGTCCATCATTGTTAAAAATATAAAGAGCACTTGGTGTGTCCATGTACATAAACAATATAACAAAAAAATGTTTTTTTTGAGTTGGAGTTTCACTCTGTCTCCCAGACTGGATGGAGTGCAGTGGCACGCTCCCAGCCACCACAGCCTCAACCTGCTGGGCTCTAGCGATCCGCCTCAGCCTTCCAGGTAGCTGGAACTACAGGTGCGCGCTACCACACCTGGCTAGTTTTTGATTTATTGTAGAGACGAGGTCTTCCCAAGTTGTCTAGGTGGGTCTCGAACCCGTGGGCTCAGGCAATCCACTCGCCTTGGCCTCCCAGAGTGCTGGGATTACAGGCTGAGCCACCGAGCCCAGCCTAACAAAATATTTTTAATGACCAGCTGCTTTTAAAGCTAAGCTTCAAGCTCTCAAAGGAAAATTTTTTCTCAAATAATAATACATTTATGAAATTTAACACAAGAAGCTTGTAAGCCAGGCGTGGTGGCTCACGCCTATAATCCCAGCACTTTGGGAGGCCGAGGTGAGAGGATTGCCTGAGCCCATGGGTTCAAGACCAGCTTGGGAAACTTGGTGAGACCTCATCTCTACAATAAATCAAAAAAATTAGCTGGGTGTGGTAGCACACACCTGTAGTTCCAGCTACCTGGAAGGCTAAGGAAGAAGGATAACCTGAGCCCAGCAGATCGAGGGTGCAGTGGCTGTGAACATGCCACTGCACTCCAGCCTGGGCAACAGAGTAAGACTCCAATACAAAAAAAGAAGCTCCCTGTTTTTAAACTTTTTATAACCCAAGGATTTCTTTAATATAATGTTATAGCTGTCTCAGAAGCCTGCCCAGAAAGCCTAACATATAATAATTACAAATTTAACTATCCTTATGACACTGTAGCTGGACAGAAGGACATCAAGGGTATGCAATAGAGGTTAGTATTCTAATATTTCTGTAAAGAGTCAGATAATAAACATTTTAGACTTTGCAGGCTATATACAACTCAGCTTGTTTATCTCTCATACACAACAGCAGTCTCAGTCACAACTACTCAACTCTGTTGGTACAGTGAGAAAGCAGTCTTAGACAATATATAGACAATAGCTGTGTTCTAATAAAACTTTATTTATAAAAACTGGCAAAAAGCCGGGCTCGGTGGCTCAGCCTATAATCCCAGCACTTTGGGAGGCTAAGGTGAGTGGATTGCATGAGCCCGCGGGTTTGAGACCCACCTGGGCAACTTGTCAAGACCTCATCTCTACAATAAATCAAAAAATTAGCCGGCATGGTAGCGCGCACCTGTAGTTCCAGCTACTTGGAAGGCTGAGGTGGAAGGATCGCCAGAGCCCAGCAGGTCGAGGCTGCGGTGGACAGGAGCGGCCACTGCACTCCAGTCTGGGTGACAGAGTGAGGCTCCAACTCAAAAAAAAAAAAAAAAAAAAAACTGGCAAAATGCTGGATTTGGCTTTTGGACTCATTTGCCAACCCTTGATATAGAAAGATTTCAGCATAAAAAGCAATCCTTATATCTAAACTCTAGACAATATATAGCCCTGCTAAAATTACTTTATGCATTTACAGAGTTGAGTTGATCAAAACAGAATTTAAAGGGTAAATAATTCTAATATTCAATATGTTCTTTAAGCTGTAACATAATTAGCCAAAATGGAAATAAGTATATTAACATTAAAATATGCAGTATTTTGTAGTTCCTTTCATTTTTTTTGTTTGCTTGTTTGTTTTTGAGACAGGGTTTCACTCTGTCGCCCAGGCTGGAGTGCAGTGGCACGATCATAGCTCACCACAGCCTCAAATTCCTAGGCTCAAGTGATCCTCCTGTCTCAGCCTCCCAAGTATCTGAGACTACAGGTATACATCACCACACCTGGCTAATTTTTCTAATTTTTGTAAAGACAGGGTTTTGCTATTTTGCCTAGGCTAGTATCAAACTCCTGGCCTCAAATGATTCTCCCGTCTCAGCCTAAGAAATAAGTTTAAACACAAAGATAATATTTACAAATGAAAAAAGCATGGGATCAAAATGTAATAGCTAGTAATTGGTAACTAACCTTAAGCAAGTGAGTAATACTTCCATGTATTTCCATGTATTTCAAAAATACTTTCAAAATCCGGGGCCCAATACAAAGCTATTAGAATGTCAAAAAAAAAAACCAAAAACCTGACAATACCAAGTTCTGGTGGAATGAAACTTTAATATACTGCTGAAGGAAATGCAAAATAATATTTTTGCATTTTGCAAAACAGTTTGATAGTTTCTTGTAAGGTTAAACATATACCTACCATATAACCCAGATGGATAGATACCACTCCTAGGTATCTAGAGAAATGAAACAGGTGCACCAAATAGCCCAGACTGTCATAATATTTGTCACTAATAAAAAGAACTATTGATTCACGCAACAAAATAAGTGAATCTTAAATATATCTTGCTAAATGACAGAAATCAGACCCAAAAGGGTATATATTGTATGATTTCATTTATATAACATTCTAGAAAAAAGCAAGAGTACACAGAGAAAATCACATCAGTGGTTGCTAGTACTGAATAAAGGGGTTGTCTATAAAGGAGTAACATGCTGGAATACTGGTATGATGAAACTGCTCTAATGCAACAGTGGTGATAAACACATTACTCAAAACATTTGTCAAAACCCATAGAACTGTGACCACAAAATATACATTTGACTGGATAAAAACTTTTTAAAAATATCAACCAGGATGTAAGGAAAAAATAAGAATGCAGACTATGACTAATGAATCTAACTATATTACAAATCAATTACATAACCAAACTAAAGAAGACAGGGAAGAAAGGAGTTGAGCTAAGTAACTCTGAAAAAGTGTTCTGACTGGATATAGTAAGGCTAAAGGCAGTAAGATCTGTATGCAAACACTGTACTCCAGTTGGTCAATTCATTTCTCACAGGACTGTGGATTAGTAATTCGTTAGATACTACTACTTCATTTGTATACGAGGACTAAACAAATAAGTACATATATAATGAAAATTGAGTTTCTCACTGTTGTAGAATAAAGTTAACAAGGAATAGGAAAGGCTAGAATCAACTTCTGGTATTAGATCAAACTCAAACTATCAGTACAGACTTATTTTTAAAAATATATACATAAAATGAGTAATTTATTATTTTTAAATATTTATGTTTTATAGATAAGTAAAACGTAAAAAGAAAATAAATGTAGATGTGTGTGTATGCATAAGATAAGACAAATACATATATAAGGAAGAACCCCCCCAAAAAAACCTGGAATTCTCTTTTTGGAGGGTGGGCCCCTGTAATACAGTCTTCCCACACTAGGTGAGTGTTCTAGGAACCCATAGGCATCAGTGTACCACCAGCATTGTTGTGAGAGAATAGGTTTGGCGTCAGTGAATTTTTTTTTGGAGATTCTTTAAACACATTTGCCTATTTCATGATGAGTGATTTATGAGCATACTGGCCCACACTGTGATGAGTGTTTGGAAGTTTTTGACCAAAAACAGCATGACCTCCTCTGCCCCACCGTCCTTATTCACCCAATCTTGCCCAGAGTGACTTTTTTGTTTTCTTGGATGAAAAAAGTACTCAAAGGGAAACATTTTGCTGATGTGGAAGAGGTGAAACAAAAAACAGCAGAAGCACTTAAAAGGCATCAAAACTGATGAATTCAAAAACGGTTCTGAGAAGTGGAAAAAATATCTCGATGGGAGTATTACATCAGAGAGTATTTTGAAGATGACTGAAAATTAAACACGTAAGAATAAATACACAATTTCTCATAAATAAATTCTGGATTTTGTTTTGGTCCTCCCTTGTTCCTACCTCTATCAGTGAAAGAAACCATTATCAGAAACACTCTTATAGGAATAAACACACGCAGAGTCCAGATCCTGGATTCTAAATATTCTTCAATAAAAGGAACCAGGGTTTCCTTAGAGAAGAAGTTGATCTCAGGACTGGAACAGAGAAAATACAAGCTGATCTTGGAACATCTTCTGGTATTAGAAATATTAAAGTGCTTTTTAAAAAACAAAACAGGCCAGATGCAGTGGCTCACGCCTATAATCTCAGCACTTTAGGAGGCCAAGGTGGGAGGACTGTTTGAGTCCAGGAGTTCAAGATCAGCCTGAGCAACATAGTTAGACCTTATTTCTACAATTAATGAATGAAAATAAAAAATAAAAAAATAAAAAGGCAGGGTATATAAAAAGGGCACAGAAGCCAACCTGAAAGATTTCCAGTGGCCAAAGTAAGAATAAGTTGAGTAACAAAATAAATAAGAATAGTACTTCTAGCTGGGCTTGGTGGCTCAGCCTGTAATCCCGCGCCTTTGGGAGGCTGAGGTGAGTGGATTGCCTGAGCCTGCGGGTTCGAGACCCGCCTGGGCAGTGAGACCTCATCTCTACAATAAATAAAAAAATTAGCTGGGCGTGGTAGCGCGTGCCTGTAGTTCCAGCTACTTGGAAGGTTGAGGCGGAAGGATCGCCAGAGCCCAGTAGGTCGAGGCTGCGATGGTGGCCGGGAGCAGCCACTGCACTCCAGTCTGAGCGACAGAGTGAGACTCCAACTCAAAAAAAAAAAAAGAATAGTACTTCTGAAAAAAATTGAATGTCCATGAATTTCTATTGACATAAAAACCTAAACAAATAAATGAAGGAGAAGCAACAATTCTTCCTTAAAGAAGGAAAATTAGCCGGGTTCAGTGGCTCAGCCTGTAATCCCGCGCCTTTGGGAGGCTGAGGTGAGTGGATTGCCTGATCCCGTGGGTTCGAGACCCGCCTGGGCAGCGAGACCTCATATCTACAATAAATCAAAACATCAGTCGGGCGTGGTAGCGCATGCCTGTAATTCCGGCTACTTGAAAAGCTGAGGCAGAAGGATCGCTGGAGCCCAGCAGGTCAAGGCTGCAGTGACCGGGAACGGCCACTGCACTCCAGTCTGTGCGACAGAGTGAGACTCCAACCCCCCCAAAAAAAGAAGGAAAATTAGTAAGAGACAAAGGAATAAGGGAAATAGAAAATCACAATTAGAAACCACAGTAACAAGTGCCATATCCTGCGAAGACCTACACTGATAAATACTAAAATTGATGGACAAACATTTTTGTCAGAAATAGGACATATGGATATCCTAATACCTCAAAGTATATTCTCTAAAATATTTAGTGATTAAAAATGAAAAATTAAGTTTGCAGCACAGAATCCCAGCGCACAGCACTTCGGCCAAGTGATCAAAGTTAATATCAGTTATACATATGAACATCGTCTATTTCCTGATATGATACACTGAAAAAGAAACAGTGCCTCTGTGGTGTCCTCAATAAAGCATGATATCAATCATGAGAAAATATCAGATAAGTCCAAACTAAGAGACATTCTACAAAACGAGTAGTGTTCTCCAAAAATGTCAAGGTCATGAAAGACAAAGAAAGAGGAGACAAGGGATGCAATGCAATGTAAGATCTTATCTTGGATCCTACACTACAAAAAACACAGTAATAGAAAACCTGGTGAAATCCAGATGCATTATGTACTTTAGTTAATAATACTATGATAAGGTTAATTTCTTAGTTTTGATAAATATTCTAAAATATATGAGATTAACATAGGGTTCTAAACTATTAATTTTGTATTTTCTCAAAGTCTAAAATAACCTAAAAGCATCTTTTTAAGTATAACTATTTCAGGACTAAAAGGGGGGACCCAAAAAACCCGGAATTTATTTACATTTGTGTATTTATTTTTACATGTTTTAACTTCAGTCGCCTTCAAAGTACTCTCTGTTTGATACATCAGTAGAGACAGTTTTCCACTGCTCAAAACTGTTTTTGAACTCATCAATTTTGATGCTTTTTAGTGCTCCTGCCATTTTTTATTTCACCTCTTCTACACTGGCAAAACATTTCCCTTTGAGGACTTTCCTCATCCGGGGAAACAAACAAAAGTTGCTTGGGAGTGAGATTGGGTGAATAGGGAGAGCGGAGCACAGGGATCATGCTGTCTTTGGTCAAAAATTTCTGAACACTAATGAGCAAATACACTAAAAGAATCTCCAAAAAAACTCACTAAAGCTGAACACAGTCTCTCACAGCAGTGCTAGCTGATACACTGATGCCTATTGGTTCTTAGAACACTAACCAAAGCAGGGGAAGTCTGTATTACAGAGGGCCCATTCTCCAGAAGATAATTGTGGTTTTGGGGGGTCTCCTCATGTACATGTGGGAAGAAAAGAAACAGAACCATGCCATATCTCTGCTCAAAACCTTGCAATGGCCCTTATAATCCTAAAGGACCCTGATAATCTGTCTCCCATCCTCCCTACTATCTCAATGACGAGATGCCTTGTCATTTTTTCCCTAGCTCACTCCAAGGGCCGCCACTGCGGCCCTATAGCTGTTTCTTAGACATGTTAAGCATGATCTTTGCAATTGTTTTCCACAGGATATTAACAAACTTCATTTTTCACCTCCTTCAGGTCCTGATCTTTGTTCAAGGGCCACCTTTTCATCAAGAGCAAGGATATCCCTGATCAAGTCCCCATAATTCAAATGACAACTCCCACCTCACTCTGGCACTCATTATCTTTCTCCCCTACTTGATGACTTTCTGTAACATATTATGTATTTCATTTACTTATTTGTTATCTGTCAACCCCAGTAGGATGAAAGAACCAGGAAAGCATGGTTTTTTTAAAGTCAATCCCCAGCACCCAAAATCATTGTCTGGTCCAGAGAAGGCATTCAATAAATATTTGTGGGCCAGATAAAACTAGTATTCAATTTCATTCCTTCATAGTACCTGCTATGTACCAAGTTTCTAGATGCTGGGGAGAATAAAGTCAAGAAGACACAGTTCCTGTCCACATGGAGATTATATTTCAGTGAGGAAGAAAACCAAATAAACAATAAATCTATATAATGTAATGTATAAATACAATGAAAAACATGACCAGGGACAAATGGCAGGCTATTTTAGACAGGTTATTTAGATTGGAAATATACAAATGCAGATACTTGAGTGAAAAGATGAATTAAGTCATGAAACAACATGGGGAAAAATTTAGGGAAAAAAAAGTAGCCTAGAGATAGGAATGAGCTTGACAAGAAAGCAAAAAGTGAAGATAAAAGGGCTATGAGATAAATCAAAGAGATGAGCAAGAATTAGATTATATAAAACCTTACAGATTATTATGGAGAGTTTGGATTCTATTTGAGGTACAACAAGAAATCATTAGAAGAATTTCAGCAGAACAGTGACATATATCTGTTTTAAGTTTTAAAAAATTATTTTGGCTGTTGAGAGAATAAATTTTAGAGGGTCAATATTGGATGCAAGGAGATCAGGCAGGAGGCTACTGCAATGAAATGAAATGTAAGAAATGATAGTGGCCTGGACAAAGGTAGTAGCTGTGGAAGTGGCGAAAAGGAATCAGATTCAGGAGATACGCTGGAGAAAGAATCTGTAGGACTTACTGAGATGCCCATCAGACAGTCAAGCAGAAATGTCAAGTAGATTAATGGGTTACTTGGAGCTCAGCAGAGAGATGAAGGCTAAAAGGGAACAGGTTAAGTTGACTTAGGACAAGATTACAGATATGAGGACCAGAAACATGAATCTAGCAAAGGCAACAAAGTCACTGATAATACTACAGCAGAAGTATACAAAGGATATTTGGGGGAGCATCTAACCCAGCTAGAAATCAAGGATGGTTTTTGGCTCTCTTGGAAGTGTAGCATATGTTTTCAAGGATAAGGAGTAAATACCTAGGCAAGAGGAAAAAGGTTAAAGACTTGGTGAGAGACTGGCAGTGGAGGGCAGCGAGGGGGACGGGTAACCACTAAGCAGGTACCATCAACTAAGATGGAATATAGGAGATATTTGTCAGAGAAGGGAGATGAAGAACAGAGGAGTCAGAACCAAACACAATACTTGGAACATAGATTTTCAACTAATGTTGCATGAATTAATAAGAAAGGGGCACAACTATGTTTCTTCCTCCTTACTATCTCATAATCCCAAGTAGTTCAATAAATTCCAAGGAACTCTTATGTACTAGAGTAAGCTACCTTTCACCTTCTTTCTCATAGTAAAGAAAAAGATAAGGCAATGCACAAAGAGATTAGAGCAGAAATTATACTTGAGACACTGAGCAGCCTGAGGTTTCTATCACTTCAAATTAATTTTATCTCAGCTAGTCCTTTAGAAAATAAAATACAGTTGGCTCCCAATATCTGTGAATTCTGCATCCACGGATTCAACCACGGATTGAAAATATTACATCATTTTTCATAAATTAAAAACAAAACAAAACACCAAACCAATAAAAAATAACAATGTAACAATTTTAAAATAACACAAAATTTGTTCAGGTGCAGTGGCTCATGCCTGTAAATCCCAGCACTTTGGGAGGCAGAGGCAAAGGACTGCTTGAAATTAACTGGGCAACATAGCAAGACCTCATTTCCATAAAAAATTTAAAAAATAGGCAGGCATGGCAGTGCATTTCTGTAGTCCCAGCTACTCAGGAGGCTGAGGCAGACGGATCACCTGAGACCCAGGGGTCAAGGCAGTGGTGAGCTATGATCATGCCGCTGCACTCTAGCTAGGCAACAAAGTGAGATTCCAACTAAAAAAATAATAACAATAATAACACAAAATTCAAAATAGAGTAAAACCACTGTTTACATAGCATTTATACTGTATTTGATATTATAAGTAACCTACAGATATTTCAAGTATACAGGAGGATAAGTATAAGATCTATGCAAATACTACATCATTAAATATGAGGGAAGAGCATCTGTGAATTTTGGTATTCAATACCCAAGACACCAAGAGATAACTATACAAAAATTATACTTTTAGCTTTGGAGTCTATAAAATCACAATACCATCACCTCTGAAGATACATACATCAACTAAATAAATATTTTAAAGCATGAATTACTATCCCTGAAACAGTAAGATTTCCTTCTATATAGTGCCCCATTTCCACAATAAATTGTCTCTCTATTTAATTTACATCTTTAATTCCAAAGATTCTACTACTAGCATGATATTTCACTGTCAATGAATCTTTCACATAAACACAAAATCTATCCCAAGGCAAAATCATACTTTCTGCTTTCTACAAGTAGGAATTAACTAATTAACTAATGACAGAGTGAAAAAACTTAAATCTAAGAGTACATTAAATTAGATAAATCATTACCTTTTTAAATGAAATAATCCGTAATCATGCTCTGCAAGAAACATCATTGTTCTAACACATGTCAGTAAACAGTTGTAACTGCTTTCAGAGTTAGCTAGTGTGGCCAGTAGACAGTCACAGATTGAGGCCATCAATTCTTTGTTGGGTAGAGAATTGGAGAGTTGCTCTAGTTCAGAAATAGAACCTTCAGAAGAGCTTGGCAAAATAAGTGCTATGTCCTATGGGGGAGGAAGAAAGCAGAGAAAAAGAATACATTTTTAAATGATTATCACCATCACTAAGCACTTTTGAGAAATACATAGCAATTAATACTTAGTAGCTATCTCATTAATATATTATTGCTCTAATCCCATCCCAAATGTACGTTCAAACACATGAGGAATAAAGGAATCATTTTGGACTTTTATAAAAGTTAATACAAGGATACACGATTAAAGACTTAAATGTTTTATTTTACATTATTTTTACTTTAAAATAATATCTTTAAAATGTTTTCCTTCTGTATTGCAGTGAGTATAATTTCTATTTTCTTTCTTTCTTTTTTTTTTTTTTGAGTTGGAGTCTTACTCTGTTGCCCAGCTGGGGTATAGTGGCACACTTACAGCCACCTCAGCAATGACCTGCTGGGCTCCGGCGATCCTTCGCCTCAGCCTCTCAAATCGCCAGAACTACAGGCACACGTTACCACGCCCAGTTAAATTTTGATTTACTGTAGAGACAAGGTCTCGCCAGGTTGCCTGGGCTAGTCTCGAATTGCAGGCTTAGGCAATCCACTCGGCTCAGTCTCCCAAAGTGCTGGGATTACAGGCTGAGTCTCCAAGCCCAGTCAATTTCTATTTTCAAATGGTTGAATTTAAAAGTATTTTGGTACTAAAATATTTAAACAACTGTATTATTTATTCATTGGGGGAGTTTATAAACAAACTATTCAGAGAAAAAAAGTTTAACAAACAACAACATCAGAATTTTTCAAAAACACAAAAAGAGGCTGGATGTGGTGACTCATGCCTGTAATTCCAGCACTTTGGAAGGTTGAGATAAGAGGAATATCTGAGTCCAGAGGTTTAAGACCAGCCTGGGCAACTTGTTGGACCTCGTCTCTACAATAAATAAAAAAATTAGCCAGGTGTGGTGGTACGTACTCCCACTTAAAAAGCTGAGGCAGAAGGATCACCTGAACCCAGGAGGTAAAGGTTACAGTAGCCATGACTGTGGCACTGCACTCCAGCCTGGGTGAGAGTGAGACTCCAACTCAAAAAAAAAAAAATCGTGAAAAGAGATGAATGGAGCAAATGGCCATTTAGGCACAGTCTTCCAATCAAATATTTCCCACTACTTTTTATATACTCCTAAAATTCACAAGCAAGTTTAGCTAACAATGACAGTAAAAACTCCCACTACTCTTTACTGAAGTAAGACTTTTACAAGAGCATTTCGTATGTTTTATCCCCTTTAATCACTTCAATATACTGTAAACCAGTAGTCAACTTAGCTTAAAACTATAAAAAAAGGTTGAAACTTGAAGGGAAATATGGTAAAGTGATGCCATCAATTACGTTTGTGTGATCAAGGCAGCTAGGATGCTACAGTGCTACACAGCATTAGTCACACAACCTAAAGTGAATTATATAACATATACCAAATTAAATGGACACTGTGAGATATAAGAACTTAAAATATCCTTTCTACCAAGCCCAAAATTATTTTCTACCAGGTCTCCTTTTTTGTGAAAACAGGTCACATAAAAAATATTCTTCTTTGAGACTTAAATATAACCAAACTGAAGCTTTGTTATAGAAAAAGATAATCTTCTGACATGGAATTCTATTAAAAATATTCTGCCTAAAAAAAATCACGTGTGATAACCAGTTAGCAAGAGCACACTAACAAGCTAAAATGCCATTAGGCATAGAAATCTTCTCCAAAGATCCCAATCACAAACGTCTTAAAAAGCTAAAAAAAATTCGACTGGGTGTGGTGGCTCAAGCCTATAATTCCAGCACTTTGGGAAGCCAAGGTGAGAGGACTGCCTGGGCCTGTGGGTTCAAGACCAGCCTGGGCAACATGGTGAGACTTCATCTCCACAATAAATCAAAAAATTAGCTGGGCATGGTAGCACGAGCCTGTAGTTCCGGCTGCTTGGAAGGCTGAGGTAGAAGGATCGCCTGAGCCCAGCAGGTCGAGGCCGGGGTGGCCAAGTGTGTGCACTTCAGCCTCGCAACAGAGTGAGATTCCAACTCAAAGAAAAAAAAAAAGTTATACAAAATTTGCATTAATTAACGAAACAATAAACTGAATGTCAATAATTCAGACTACAGGGCTGGGTATGGTGGCTCACACTTGTAATCTCAGCAGTTTGGGAGGCAGAAGTGAGAGGACTGCCTGAGGCCAGGGGCTGGAGACCAGCCTAGGTAACTCAGTGAGACCTTGTCTCTACAATAAATCAAAAAATTAGCTGGGCATGATGGCACATGCCTGTAGTCCCAGCTGAAGGATCACCTGAACCCAGGAGGTAAAGGTTACAGTAGCCATGACTATGGCACTGCACTCCAGCCTGGGTGAGAGTGAGACTCCAACTCAAAAAAAAAAAAAAAATCGTGAAAAGAGATGAAGGAGGCATAAGCCTGTAGTCCCAGTCCTGGAAGGCTGAGGCGGAAGGATCACCTGAGACCAGCAAGTGGAGGCTGTAGTGGCTGTGAACATGCCACTGCGCTCCAGCTTGGGCAACAGAGTGAGATTCCGACTCAAAAAGTAATAATAATAATTTAGACAATAGGAAAAAATACTTCTACTGTTAGCCAATGTATATAAGCACAACAGTCTGAAACACAATAACTGTAGTCGTTTATGATGCCTTCAAAAGTTGCCACAACAAGAGACATATTAATTCAACTGATCACAAGGCTATAAAACTCAAAAATGACTTGATGTATAAATAAATTGGAAGGAATATGAACACAGAAGAAATAACTGATCCTAGAAATTATAGAAACAGGCACATAAAGGAACTATCCAAGGTTGCAATTGTATCAATAAAAGGAAAAAAGCTCTTCAGAGAAATTTATGAAGTACTAACCCAATGAAAGCTATGATACACCAATTCAACTTACTGTTGTTTCACTAGTCCAATTTATCTCCCTAAACAACAGGAGTAAAACATAGAGGAGAGCTCTTCACTCACAGCCAAGATTGACATCAAAACATTTAAATGCACACACACACACACACACACACCCACACACACGCACACACCCACAGACTTTATAAAAATAACTATAAATACCTGATCACAGAGAGACTGCAAAATGGATGTGACATATTCAACACACTGTTGGTGAATAACACTGTCTCCAGGAGACCGCACCAAAGCTAAAAGATCCTGGAATATCTCTGCATATCTTTCATCACCTTTAATAGTTCCATTAATTAGATGCAAAATAGCTAATTTACAAGCTTTGTGTGAAGCCAGAGCATCAAGAAGAGCAAGCAACCTGGTGGTTTGGCTAGTATACTGTTTTTCCTTATCTTCTGAAGTGCTGAAATAAAATCAGTACATTTAGTAAACAAAATTCTTGATGTTAAGGCATTGTTTAACTAATATTTATTTTTCAATACATATCAACTTACATAAATTGTGTATAAAACACATCATTTCTTGGATATAATGACAACTTCTCTGGAATTTTACAATTACTGCAAAATTTTATAAGTTCAGGTTTTCAATAAAGTATTTTCTTACATCAGAGTACTTCTTTATAGTTTATCTTTCAAAAACCCAAAATCAAGACCTTCAAGGTATCTTGCACATGAAATGATGAAATAAAGCTTTCTAAAAATAATTACATGTACTCATATATACATATGTGCACAAATAGGTATCTGTGTATATTTACATGTATATATACTGTAAACTGGGCATTCCAAATCCTAGTTTCCAAATTGTTAAGTAAAAAAAATGTATATGTGTCAAAAATAACTTGAGGAAAAAAATTTTAATGCAAAATGAAAATACCTTTGCAAGTCTTCTACAATCAAATCCAACACAGTTCTCATAATCAGAAGTGCAGTTGGTGAGGCAAGGTCACACAATTGAACACAAATACGCCGTAACATATGTTGAATGGGCTGGCAGGTTGTGCCAGAGAAAGAACGAACTATTTCTTGGAGCAACTTTGCTTGAACATGAAGGTGCATGCTCCACAATTTTCGGGTGTTGAGTGCCACTGATATATCATGTGGCTCAATAACCTGTTAAAAAAGTATAATGTGTGTGTACGTAGATTTTTTATATTTATTTATAGTCACAAAATCTGTTCAGGAAGAACTGTTATAAAAAGAACATCTTTACTGCATGCTTAAAACATTTAATTTTCTATTATACAGTTAAACAAATTTTGTTGAATTCAATAAAGTCTAAAAAATCTATTGTTCTCAAGTTTGCAGTCAGTTGAGTAGAGTCCATTGGTGAAGCAACCTAGTTATTGGCAAATTCTAACACATGATAAAGGGGAGAAAGGATTTAAAATAACAGAAAAACGTAAGTACAAGTATACATAACAGCATAATAAAACTCACTTTAACAAAAATTTATTTAAAGTGTTACCCCCATATTTCCTCAGTGACCAACTTGCATCAGTTTTATCTCCCCCTCATCCGATTATTTTATGTCTTTTTGGGGGGATGGGAGATGAGGGTTTTTGTTTTTTTAACAAAATCACTGGCTTTTTTTAAAGTGTTACTGCAGTCATTTATAAGATGCATGTTATATGGAAGTGATACCTGAGTTGTTTGCATGGGCAATGGAAGAGGCAGCAGCTCTGAAAGGAGTATGAGACCAGAAAAAAATCCTTCAGGAACCTTCAAGATTGAAGAAAGAACTTCTTTTAACATTAAAGACCAAGTATTATTGGCCAGAGTCTCTTCTGAGATTGTGAGTTTTTCATTAACTCCTTGTGTAAAAGTCAGTAAAATATCAATAATATCATTCTGAATTTTCTGTTCATCACTATCCAAACGACCTGAGAGGGGGATAGAGCACAGGAGCATATGTAAAGTAACAAGTGCTGAAGGAACACGCATGTCCTTAAACTCAAAGGATCCACCTCTCAGGAGTTCCGTCAACATAGTTTTAAGAAGAGTGAGTGTACAGCGAGCCATTGAAATAGTAGTCACTCTGTGAAGGGTAGTCCCCATGTTGACATGGAGCCGCCAGGGCTGAGTCAGAATACTGTTCAATTTTTGCAGAACTCGAATAAAGGTGTCCATTCCTTCAGCAGAAAAAAGCTGAATAACAGCAAGATTCCATTTCAGATCTTTCTGTTGACCTTTATATAGGAAAAGAAAAAAAAAACCACAAAACTAATTACTTATATGTTAATAACTAATTTTGAATATTCAATAAATGATATTTACACTAGACCTAAAGAATAGTAGTTTTTAATGTATACTAGCCACATTACCTTCAACAGGTGGTGGTGGGCATGCCACGTTACAGAGAACACGTAAGGCAGTGGTAAGGCCAACTCCTTCTGGGGTCATCAAGTTATCAATATTCTTTAAAAATAAAAAAGAACAGACTTTAATTTCTTGGTACTCATCAGAACAAGAGAAAATTCCAGACAAGGCATTAGTTAAAAATATAAGCTTCATGTTAAGTACATGCAATATTTTATATTTATCAAGCAAATTTTAAAACATGAATAAGCCCTTAGAGCTAAACAAGTTTATCAAGATTATTTGATCTTTGGCATTTGTTGTACAATATATATTATCTAGATATAAAGAATAATTGTAATGGCCAGGCTCAGTGGTTCAGCCTTTAATCTCAGCATTTTAGGAGGCGAGGTGAGTGGACTGTCTGAGCCCATGGGTTCAAGACCAGCCCAGGCAACCTGGTGAGACCTCGTCTCGACAATAAAATAAAAAATTAACTGGGCGTGGTAGTATAGGCCTGTAGTTCCGGCTACTTGGAAGGCTGATGGGGAAGGATAGCCGGAGCCCAGCAGGTCGACGCTGGGGTAGCCATGAACATGCCCCTGCACTCTAGCCTCGGTGAGGGACTGAGAAAAAAAAAGGAATTAATTGTAATATATAAGTACATTTAAATATATAAGTGCATTAAATATATAAGTACATTTAAAAGGATTGACTAGAAGATAACACACCAAAATGAGACTCACTATATTAAGAGTTTAAAATGCCTCCTTTCAGTATACCATTTTTATACAGTTTTCTCTCCCAAAAATGAAATACTGACTCTATTTTAAAAGCCCTGGGGATAACAAACCTCTTTCAAAACTGAGGAAGCAACATGGCATGTTTTTGGACTATATAGCACACATTTTAAAAAATGCAAATACCGAGGGGGTCTAGTTTCATAGCCAGTTGGGGTGTAGGTTAGAGAAAAACGAAATACAGTTGTCTATATCCTTAGCACCTGACTATGCTGTTTCCTGGCAACAAACAAAGTTAAGTTTTGGTATCTTTCTCAAACTGGCATTATAGATGATTTAGAAACATGAAAGAAATAATACTTTAAAATGTTACTATCTCAACTTCTAAGAATCAGTGTATAAACTTAAAAAAAAAACCTCCTCTCTTTCATATGTTTTCCACTTTGGTTTATCTTTCCCCCTATTTTTTCCCCCTATAATTCCACAAATTATATAAGGCAGTAAGGGGCTATGAAGTGAAGTTGCAGTCTTGGAGCAACTGTTTTTATTCCATCTTGGGATGAGAGCCACTTAAAATAATTATGATTAATGGGATAAAGATTTACATAAAAATTAAAACTTTCTTTTAATTACGGCATGTAATTCAAACTTACACAACTAAATTTCTTGCTGGTTAAATAGTTTTACTCAAGTCATCTGCTGTTTATTGAATATCTTGTTAATACTCACTCGACCATGCACAAGTACCCAGCAGAATATATGACCATCTAAATTTACAGAACATTAATTATGCTTCTGCTAAATAAAAGAAAATATAATGAAAAGTTCTAAATATAATTTGAGGCACAGAGTAAGAGCAGAAGAACATGATGGTACCACAGGAAGTAAAAGTACTCTGGAGAAATGAGACAAGGGCAGAGAAATCAGTAAAGAAAAATCGGAAGCAGATAAGACCAAATAATACTTTGTTGTTGGATCAATAGCAACAGATTAAACAATATACATAAATTACTTTAATAGCACACACTGCAATTTCAAAACCAATATGGTTTACACTCTTCTTGCTGCACAAGTGTGTGCACACATACACGTGCAGTTCATCTGCTAAATGAAAGCGGAGACAATTCAAGGTCCATTCTAACTTTCCAGCTTAAAACTTTCTAGTGCCTTTAAGTGCTTTTTCCTGTGCTATACTCTGGATCAGCTAAGAAAAAACAACTTCCAAGACTAACAATGCAATGATCTTTTTTTCAGTATGAATTATTTGAATTTCATATAAATTTTTCAACTGTACTATAAGTTTTATGGATTTTGTGAATTTCAACCTTTAAGAATTATTTCAACTGCAAATTCTTTTATCCCAAATTAACCTAAAAGAACTAACCCCCATTGCAATTATCTGGAAGTGACTCTATCAATTTTCACCTAAATATTTGTACTGAAATTCTTTTTCACTAATTAAAGTTTAATTGAAACAGTTATAGGTTACATTAACACAGCATTTAACTTTAAAACACTTATGTAAATGTCATCACGATGGTAGGTGACATTCCCATTTCAGAGGAAAATATAGGACAGAATCTGGTAGCACAAAAGCAGTATAGTACATAGAGTTATGTGCATGTGTGTTCACGTATGCACATATTCACATATCCATCTGTACGCAAGGTCTAATAAATCAACCCAGTACACTTAACAACTTCTGCATTATCTACACAATTTAATGAAATACAATTTAATGAAATATCGCTATACACTACCACAAATTTCATCAAATCAAAGCACTTTTAAGCATTTTTACTCACCTGTTTAACATATTCAATTAAGTTTGGGATGCAGTTTATTTCAAATCTAAGGTTTTTCAGAGGTTCAAGCCACTTGCCAAGTTCTTAAAAAAAAACAAGAATAATTCGTAATAGTTAAAAATAAAAGCCTTTATAACAAAGTTTTTTTTTTTTTGAGTTGGAGTCTTACTCTGTCACCCAGACTGGAGTGCAGTGGCGGCTCCCGGCCACCGCAGCCTCGACCTGCTAGGCTCCGGCGAGCCTTCCGCCTCAGCCTTCCAAGTCGCTGGAACCACAGGCACGCGCTACCACGCCCAGCTAATTTTTTATTTTATTGTAGAGATGAGGTCTCACCAAGTTGCCCAGGCGGGTCTCGAACCCGCGGGCTCGGGCAATCCACTCACTTCAGCCTCCAAAAGTGCTGGGATTACAGGCTGAGCCACTGAGCCTGGCTATAACAAAGTATTTTATCCCAAATTATCAGATCCATTTTGACTTCAATAATCTAAATTCCATATAGGGATGAACTCATGTCTAATTCTTTAAACAAGTTTAAAAATGAAATGTAAATGCAGCCCTACTATCTGGTTTCTTTTTTTTCCTTTATTTTATTGTAAAGGTGTGGGGTACAAATCAGCATTAGGTACATAATATATCTACATGCAGGTAAAGTTTGGGCCTCCAACTGGTCCTCACTTCCTCTGGTTTAGGTTTGGTACCCTTAGTGATGTTATGTGCCCCCTCCCCTCACCTGGATTCTTAAAACTTTAAAGTTTAAATGCTTAAAATAGTTTATCTAATTACAATGAATTTTTCATAACAATCAATCTACATTAAAAAGAGATTTATAAAATAGACTGCTTATAAACTAATATAATATAGTGTCTATTCACATATTTGCCATTATCTCTTACTCACCCAAAATAGTATAAGCAAAATATAATAATTTCTAGAGAAATCAAGCCCATGGGAAAACTTTTTATGTGTGCCTTTTCCCTTAACATAAATTTTTAATCTGTCAACTTCCTAATTTGCCTTTATAAAATTAAAAGTAATTACTATCACTCCAAAAGCATTGAGGGCAAACTTTTTTTTTTTTTTTTTTGAGTTGGAGTCTCACTCTGTTGCCCAGACTGGAGTGCAGTGGCCGCTCCCGGCCACCGCAGCCTCGACCGGCTGGGCTCCGGCGATCCTTCCGCCTCAGCCTTCCGAGTAGCCGGAATTACAGGCGCGCGCTACCACGCCCGGCTCATTTTTGATTTTATTGTAGAGATGAGGTCTCACTGCCCAGGCGGGTCTCG